TACTCAGGAGGCTGAGATCTGAGGATCTTGGTTCAAAGCCAGCTGGGGCAGGAAAGTCCATGAGACTCTTATCTCCAATAAACCACTAGAAAACTGAAAGTGGGGCTGTGGCTCAAGGGGTAGAGCGCTCACCTTGAGCTGAAGAGCTAAGGGACAGCACCCAAGCCCAGAGTTCAAGCCCCAGACTGACCAAAAAAAAAAAAAAAAGATAAAGATAAAAAAAAAAACCCAAAGGGGAAAAAACAGCAGTCCTCTCTCTTATCTGCTTGCTCAAATAATTAACTGCTCAGGGGAGTTGAGGGGAATTACTGGGGAATGAGTCCTCTGGGCACAAAAAGCATTTGAAAAGGAAAAGGTTCTGTCAGGGATGGGCACTTAGCTTAAAGAGGACAACCCAGCCAATCTGTTCTGAAGAATGCTTAGACATCTATGAGCAAATCAACCTTGAAATCTCTAGGCCCAATTGATGAAACAGTGCAACAGCAAAAATGACTAAATATAGCAAGTATCAGGTGAAAGGGGAATATGTGAGGCAAACCCCCAAGCCTGTGATGTTATTTCTCCTCCTATTCACTAGCAGATGTGCTGGCATCCACATCTGGATCATTGCCATCTTTCTATTGTTCCTTTGCTTTACCAAATAACCTACCTACCCCCCACACCCAGCTTTCTCTCGATAGTCCTGGGGCTTGAACTCTGGTGCTATCCCTGGGCTTTTGTACTCAAGGCTAACACTCTACCACTTGAACCACAGCTCCATTTCCAGCTTTTTTTTTTTTTTTTTAGTTTAGTGGAGAAAAGAATCTCACAGACTTTCTTGCTCAAGCTGGCTTTGAACTATGATCCTCTGATCTCAGCCTCCTGAAGAGCTGAGATTACAGGCATGAGCCACAAGCACCCACCTACCCATAACCTTTCATGGTCTCTCTCCTCAATAGATCCCAAAATTCCTTCCTGCACAAAACATCATGAATTTGGGACTCCAGGGCCAAGCAAAGAAAGGCCTTTTCCCTTTTGGAGACCACTCCTGAAATCTCATTGATTTTAGTAACAGTATGACTGCAACCCTCAAAATGTAGAAGAGCCAAGATGGAGAGGGAAAAGGCATTTGAAACTGTGATATTCAGCCAGACACTGATGACTCACGCCTGTAACCCTATTTATTCAGGAGGCTAAAATCTGAGGATTTGAAGCCAGCCCAGGTAGGGAAGTCCATGAAACTATTATCTCCAATTTACCAGCAAAAAAGCCAGAAGTAGAGCTGTGGCTCAAGTGGTAAAGTACTAGCCTTAAGCAAAAATAAGCTCAGGGACAGTGACTAAGCCCTAAGTTCAAACCCCAGGACCAGCACAAAACGAAACCAAACAAAAACCAAGACCTGGTTTATAATTAGAAGTTCTCAGGTTAAATTTATTATGATCTTTTAAACTTCCTTCTAAAAAAAATTAATATGGAACTAAGTATAGGCTGGGAATGTGGCTTAGTGGTAGAGTGCTTGCCTAGCGTACATGAAGCCCTGGGTTCGATTCTTCAGTACCACAAAAACAGAAAAAGTGGCACCTGTGGCTCAAATGGTAGAATGCTAGCCTTGAGCAAAAAGAAGCTCAGAGACAGGCCCTGTTCAAGCCCTGGGTCTGGCAAAACAGCAACAACAACGACAACAACAACAAAAATACCCTACAGTGTAAGTAGAATTATTATTCTTACTCAATATTAATTTGTTTAGATTTTATTGGCAATTACACTACTTGTAGGTGTTTTTTTTAACATTTCAGGTCAAATAGGAAGGCTGAGAAATTTGTAAAGCACAAATATTGCAGAGAGAAGACTAAGGCCACAAAAATTAATTGACAAGCTTCTTTCTAAGAAAGAGGAAACTAAACATTAGCTGTCAGAAAGCTCACCTGGTTTTGCTTCAGTGTGGACACCAGCTTTTGCAGTGTGATGTTCTCCTCTTCTAGCTCCGTGTAGTCCTGAAGGAGGCGGGCCTCCCGGAATTTGTACTCACGGATTTCATCCTTCATCCGGATTCTCTGAAGCTCCACCATCTCATTGTTCTGCAACAACAAAACAAATGATCTTACAGAACTTCCTTGGCAGCTCATCCCTGTAAACCTAGTTATTCAGAAGGCTGAGATCTAAGGATCACAATTCAAGGCCAGCCAGGCCAGGAAAGTCCATGGGACTCTTATTTCAAATTAATGACCAAATTAGAAGTAGAGCTGTGGCTCAAGTAATAGAGCACTATCCTTGAGCAAGAAAAAAAAAAAAATCTCGGGGCTGGGAAGGTAGCTCAGCGGTAGAGTGCATGCCTTGCAAGCATGAGGCCCTGGATTCGATTACCTCAGTACCACATAAACAGAAAAAGCCGGAAGTGGCGCTGTGGCTCCAGTGGTAGAGCACTAGCCTTGAGCTGAAGAGCTGAGGGACAGCGCCCAGACCCAGAGTTCAGGCCCCATGACCGGCAAAAAACAAAAACAAACAAACAAAAAAACAAAAACAAAAATCTCAGGGACAGTACCCAGGCCCTGAGTTCAAGCCCCTGGAGTAGCACATACAAACACAAACAATTCTGCAATATATCTCATAAAGATATTTAAAACAAGAACTAAATCCATATATATATTTGAGTTGGAAATAATCTAAATATTAGCTATTTGAGGGAATAACAAAAGAAATTATCACATATTCATTCATATAGGGCATAATAAATTAAGGAATTAGAGAAAAGAGCCAGGTGTTGGTGGCTCAAGACTGTAATCCTAGCTACTCAGAGACAGATCTGAGGATCATGGTTCAAAGCCAACCTGGGCAGGAAAGTCTGTGAGACTCTTATCTCCGATGAAACACTAGAAAACTCTAAGTGGAACTGTGGTGCAACGTGGAAGAGCATTAGCCTTGAGCCTGTGCATGTGAGTGTTTGAGATTTTCTTCTAGAGAGTTCTTTTCTGTCCTCTGGATTTAGCCAGGGCTTTTGAGCTTGAAATATATTCCTGTGTGCAGATGAGTCTCAAATCTTTCTCCAGGCCTAAGAAAATCCTCTGCGGCCTCTCTGGCTTCACTCCAGGAACTCATTAGAATCTTCTTCTACTAAGTTTGCTCCCAGATATTCTGTTGGATCTTTAAAGCCCTCACACTGGGTTTTGCTTTAGAGTTTTTACACCAGCTGTCTCCTCTGCTGGGATTGCCATTTCCAGATTCAAACTGCTGCCTTTTCCTTCAGATCTCAAAGGATGACATCACTGCAGAAAAGCTTCCCACAGGTTTCTTTTTCTTGTTTTTATTTTTTATTTATGTATTTATTGATGAGGGTGGGGACTGGGGCTTGAATTTAGGGCATCTTGCTCTTAACTTTCGCACTCAAGGATGATGCTCTACCACTTGAACCACACCTCCACTTCTGGCTTTTTGCTGGTTTACTGCAAATAAGAGTCTCATGGATTTTTTTTGCTCCAGCTGGCTTTGAACCATGATCCTCAGATCTTAGTCTCCTGAGTAGCTAGGATTACAGGTGTGAGCTACCAGCACCCAACTAAACATTAAGATTTTCTAAGAGTAAGGTATGGTGTGTACCATTTGCCAACTTTATTTGACCACAAAACCTTTTATCTGCTTCTAAAGGAGCATTTGAAACAATCCATAGATGGAATAAAAACAAAACAAAACAAAAACCCACTGTTACTCTGAAGCAGCAGAAAAAGCTAGTATCTGCAAAGTGGGGAAGCTAGAACTACCCTCCACCTCTTCCTACTGCAGAGATTAGATTTAAATAATGCTATGAAACAAAATCAGAAGACTAGAGAAATTTTTTTAAAAAAAGGCAGGACAAGCTGGGCACTGGTGGCACATGCCTATAATCCTAGCTACTCAGGAGATCTGAGGATCATGGTTCAAAGCCAGCCCACGCAGTAAACTTTATGAGACTCTTATCACCAGTTAACCATCAAAAAGCTGGAAGTAGAGCTGTGGCTCAACTGGTCGGGCAGTAGCCTAGAGCACAGAAGCTCAGGGACAGCACCCAGGCCCTGAGTTCAAGTCCCAGGAGCCCGCCCCCTCCCCCACACACACAATGAAGAAAAAGATAGGCAAGTTCTAATAGCAGTCAGTGAGTAGATAGATATGTGAAGAGTTTAGGCTATCCCATCCCCAAATATGCCACTGTGAAATTCTATTTTGAGCAGAAGGCAATAGAGAGACAGCAAGTGCTCTCCCCCTTTCTACTTAAAAACAGGCCTCAGTATTTCCCAGAGAGGGAGGTGTGCCAGGAAGGAAAAAACAAAACAAAAAACACACCATCACAGACTAGATTGTTGCTCAGCTAGATCTGTACAAGCTCCTACCAAAATAACCCTTCACTCCTGCTAGCTTTCTTCACCATTCCTAGGCCAAGCTCCTTTCTTGTCTCTTCGCAGATCATTTCTTTGGCTGAAAAATGAGTAAAATCTGGATCCTTCTTTGGGTAGAGATGTGGCCTGCGTGGTAGAGTGCTAGCCTGCAGTGAAAAAGTGAAGTGAAAGAACAAGGCCCTGAGTTCAAACACCAGTACAAAACAAAAACAAAAAAGTGATAGATTTAAGCAGTGTGCTTAGTGGCTCACATCTGTAATACTAGCTACTCAGGAGGCTGAGCTCTGAGGATCTCAGCTTGAAGCCAGCCTGGTCAGAAAAGTCCATGAGACTCTGACCTCCACCAAAAAAGCCAGAAGCGAAGCTGTGGCTCAAGTGGTAGAGCACTAGCCTTGAGCAAAAAAAAAAAAAAGTTCAGGGAGAGTTCCCAGGCCTTGAATTCAAGCCTGAGGAGCAGCACATGCAGGAAAGAAAGTGCCAGATTTAGAATGACTGATCTATCTTACATTAATTGCCATTCCAGTGTTTGACTATCTTAGAAGCCTAGGGGATGGAGACATGGCTCAGCTGGCAGAGTGATAGCCAATGAGCAAAAGTGTCAGGTACCTAGTTCAAGTCTTAGACTAAAAAAAAAAGTCTAAAACAATTCAAGAAGGTAATCAATCTGCCTCTAACAATTCATGTCACCATTACCTTCTAACCCTTAAAATGGATGCTAATAGAGCTGGGTGCTGATGGCTCATGCCTGTAATCCTAGCTACTCAGGAGGCTGAGATCTGAGGATCGCGGTTCAAAGCCAGCCCGGGCAGGAGAGACCGTGAGACTCCTATCTCCAATAAACCACCAGAAAACCGGAAGTGGCGCTGTAGCTCAAGTGGTAGAGCGCTCACCTTGAGCTGAAGAGCTGAGGGACAGCGCCCAGGCCCAGAGTTCAAGCCCCACGACTGACCAAAAAAAAAAAAAAACAAAAACAAAAAAACAAAACCAAGCCAACTGTCCTTGCCAAGGTCTTCCTGCTACCAGCTATTCCCTTTTGCTTGGAAACAGAATTTTGGAGTCACCTCAAGAAAGGAATTTGGAGCCAATGCTAGTGGCTCACACCTATAATCGTAGCTACTCAGGAGGCTGAGACCTAAAGATCACGGTCCAAAGTAAGCCTGGGCAGACAAATTTGAGAGAAACTTCTAAAAGCGGGGAGGGGTCCCCAAACTTTAACTCCCGTGAAAACAGAGAAACTGAGTCACACCTTCAATCACTGAGTAAAGTCTTATTTGTCTAAAAGATTGGTCTCAAATTCAGGGTGGGAGAGGGAGGGGAAATGAAATTCTGGAAGGATATAAAAAGACTCCATAAGGCCAGGTGCTGGTGTCTCATATCTGTAATCCTAGCTATCTAGGAGGTGAGATCTAAGAAGTATGGTTCAAAGCCAGCCTGGGCAGGAAAGTTTATGAGACTCTTATCACCAATGAACTACCAAAAACAAAAGTAGAAAGTGGAGTTGTGGCTCAAGTGGCAGAGTTCTAGCCTTAAGCACAGAAGCTCAGGGACAGCACCTAGGCCATGAGTTCAAGCCCCAGGACTGGCACCAAAATAAATGCAAGTGAAAAGACTTGCAGAGACTCAGAATCCATCAAAGGGCTGTGGGGGCTGTCTCCCTTCCCCCAGCCCTGGGAAAGCACTCCACCAGCCTGTGAGCTCCCAGGGAAAAGAGCCAGAAGGGCAAGAGAGTGACAGTTCCCTCTGCTGTGGCCTGCAGACCCCACTCCCCACACATCAACACAAGGGCCCTGGTGGAGTGCAGAGAAGAGAGGCCTTTATTGAAGCAGGCCCAGTGAGAATCAGGGTTTTCATCCATCCCTACACAAAAGCAGGGTTGCTTTCCGGGCCAGAATTCCAATTAGCATCGTAGGCACCAATCCAACAAATGACTCAGAGAGAGAGAGAGAAACGGGCAACTGCACTTAAGTCCATGCAGGGAGGCAGTGGCCATTATTACACACTGACAGTCACTCACAGCCAAAGGAACTTTTGGTGCATATGGGACAAGACAGGTTTCAAAAGTACATTCTGTGAAAAACGGTATTTATATATTTTTTTCTTTTGTGCCAGTACTGGGACTTGAACTCAGGTCTTCATACTCTTACTTGGCTTTTTTAATCAAGGCTGGTGTTCTGCCATTTGAGACACATTTCTACTTCCAGCTTTTTCTTCTCTAGGATGGCTTTAAACCACGACCCTCAGATCTCAGCCTCCTGAGTAGCTAGGATTATGGACATGAGCCACCAGTTCATGGCTGGAAGCATGTTTCTAAACCCAGAACTTAGGCAGGCACTAGTGGTTCACGCCTGTAATTCTAGCTATTCAGGAGGCTGAGATCTGAGGATCAAGGTTCAAAGCCAGCCCAGGCAGGAAAGTCTATGAGATGCTTAACTCTAATTAATCACCAGAAAATGTGAAGTGGCGCTGTATCTCAGGTGACAGAGCACCAGCATTGAGCAAAAAAGAGCTCAGGGACAGCTCCTAGGATCTGAGTTCAAGCCCCATGACTGCCCAAAAAGAAAAAAAATCCAGAACTTTCAGTCCATAAGTACAAGGTACTTTCCTGATGCCAGGGCTCCCTCCTTTGTCCTTCTACCACTACCCCAGCATCTGGTAACCATTGGTTATTTTATGCCAAAGGGCTGTAATCTTGAAGGAGAAATGGCAGACAA